GCGACTTTATTCTTTAGGAAGAGAAACACAATGACTTTGAAAATATATAATTTATATTTAACGTATGTATACAATGAAGCATAAAACTAGTTCTTTTATTTAGGATTAGAAACAATTCAATAGTTATTTTATTTAGGCATTACATTATCTTTTAAAAGTTTACGTTTTCTGAGGCCAATTTCTCAATAATATGGTCTACAATGTAGACTCTACATTAATACTTTTTGCATTGTCATTCTCAATCAAGAGTGTAGCAAGATTAATTAAAAGTTCTTGACCAATCTGGGATCGTAAATACTTTTTATGAACTTCATTTCGCTGAACGATCTTTCACAGCAGGCAGAAGTTACAGATATCAATGCTAAGCTAAGTGCAATGTCTATACTGGGGTACCTGGTTACTGAGCCATATTCTTCATGGCAATTAAGAAGCGCAATGTAATCAACATTTGAAATCGGGCAATAATAATTTTATTTGATGTTTGAAGCTTTTATACTCTAAACACAACTCGTTTGCATTTAAATCATTTTTAATTTAAGGTCGTATCAGCTGACCTCTATGATCAAGACTTTTTTTGATACGAATATGACGGTCACGAATTGTTTTTCATAAATCTCTTATTTAATGTTCGGTACAGATTTTATGTGCTAACTTATGTTACGGTTAAATAATATTGCAAAGAGTAGGGTTGTACTTGCCCGACCCTGTAGTTTCGCAAGGAAAAATTTACTTGGCTTTCTCAAGAGTAAAAACCTTTTCTGACATTTTTGTGACTTTCTGGAAAAACGAAATGCTAATGGTCGAAGAACTTCAAAAGTTTTCAAGGAAGTGTAAATTGTTCGAAGAACATATCTCTATAATACTGAATAATGCTTTATTGAACATTTGTTTCCAACGTAAATTACATTGTTTTTATTTTAGTTTGATATTGTGTATGTACGATGTTACATTTACACAATTTTTAACAAATAAAACACGTTTAATCAATAACTTTCCTTCTTAATGGAAAGGGTGGGGATTAGCATGTGAGAGTTCTCGCACGGGTACGCTAGTAGATTATATTTGGTGAATCTGAAAGGCGAAGGGATCTTGGTAGGGAGAAACGTTGGTTAATGATCGCATGTGAAAAAAGAAAAGCAGTTGCGAAATTCTGGCAAAAATGGGCATTTATTCTATCCTCAAAAGAATAGAAAGCACATAAATGCCACTGGACATTTACCGAATCAGTCGCTTCAAATACCTGTTAGAAACTATTTCATGTAAAACTATTTTTTAAAGCTTCTAAAATGGGATCACATACAAATTCGTTTAGTAAAACCCTTTACTTTGAATTTACACTAGTCTATCACATTTAATTTCTCTTAAATCTGCCAGTTCATTATTTACAATAATACCCCCTTTGTTCATCAAGTTGAATACAATTTACCATACAAAAATTCCTAATTCTATTCGACACAGAATTCCTCAGTTTGGAAGCAAAGCATTACATGTTTTTAAAATTCAACATTTGATTTTACATTCTCTTGGTTCGTTGGAATGGAATTTGGAAAGCATATTGAATTGTAAAGGGTACGTTTTAAGCTTCCCTTCCCAATTGTTAGTGGCGATATAGAACGCCTTTTCACAGTTTCTCTCTCGCTACACCCAGAACAAAACTCTGTAACACTCAATGTTCGCCGTGTTCATGCGCCTGCCACCGAAACTGCTGCGAAGGTCGCGCGCGCTCGCGCCATCGCCTGGAACACAGTGCTGTGCGTGAGGTCAGGGATCAGCTCCGCGCCGCCACGAATCCTCCCGCGTCACTTTCTGCACAATCCTGCTCGGTCCTGCGTCCTCGTCTTGCCACGTCTTCTTCCGGCCTTCTTCCGCAGCACCAACACTTATTGAGCGCTTTAATCACGGTTTGGGCTTTCGTGAATTTAAATATAGTTCATACGCTCATAATTGAAATGCATGTCGTTCACAAGAGCAGTTCTTTCATCAACATTCACTTCTCATACAAATAAATTACTAGAACGTAACTGCCTTGCGAACTGTTCTCGGTTTTGCACTTTCAGAAACTCGGAATTATTCAACGTACTATTAATTCACAGTTCACCGAAACCACTGCATACTAAAATACCGCTTTTCTGGCTATCTAGTTACTGCACGGCGAATCCTTTCAACTGCGACTCATTCGCACGTTCTCTCTAAAAAAGTAAAACTACAAGTCCTATAGTTTCTGCCTAGATCAGTACAACCTTTCCGCACCGCTGCTGAGATGGGTATGAATAAAAGTAAGCAAGTAACTCTATGCTCCGAGTTTCGGAGATCCTACTCAGTTTCGTATGAATAAAGTGGGTATGCAATTGCTCAATCCCTGAGCACTTGCTCCATCTCTGAGCGTACTCTCAACTGGCGAGCAAATGCTCAGAATTGGTATGAATAAAGTTAAGCGTTTACTCTAGAGTGAGCACTTGCTCCAAAATTTCGGAGTGACCTTAGTAGCAGACTCACGTTTGAGAAGTGAGGTAAAATTGGCCTATTTTTTTTTTTTACCGTGTGTTGATATGCAAATGCAGCGGACTAAAAAAAATTCAAGATAAGGGAAATTCTCGTGATGTAGACTATTAGAATCTTTGCCGATTCGAAAAGGACAATGTATGGTTGGTACGATTTTTATCGGCGTTTGCTTTCAGGTGCGTTTTCATATTGCATATCTTCTATGTTAATTGGCCATCGCTATTTTCTACTTGGAATTTATCGGGATACTATTTTTTTCAAACTTTGTAATGTTTCGTTTTGGACACAGCGTACCTCCGAAAGCTGGCTCTTTTCAAAAAGAATTTTATATTCGCTTAACATTTCGGCAAAAACTAGCTGGGCCTCTGGCGCCCGTTTTTCATTACTGCTATTCATATTCGAATTTAAAGAACGAGACAACAAAACATTGCTCTTTATTCCGCACAAATGTGAGTGACGCGCGTAACGTATGTAACCTCTTTGTTGCTCAAGAAACCATTTTTTAAAACTCTTAGCCTGCACTATCACTTGTTCACGACGAGCAAATGCTCGCGAGACATGAGTAAGTTCTTCGGAGACATACGAAGTTTTTATTCATACAAAATGGAGCTTCTGCTCAGTGCTGCGGAGTAGACTCACTTTGCTCCGGAGCAAGTACTCCTGAGCAAGTGCTCATTTTTATTCATATGATCCAATGAGTCGTTACAACTGCCATCTGGTCATTCCTTCCTCTTCTTTCTCCTCGATGACATAGGGCTACCTCCCCCATCCCTCCAGTCGAAAACACGATCTTGAATGCCCCTTACTTTGCGCGGAAATTCAAACGGGTTCACATATGCTTTCGCTCTCCGAACCCACATATTCCGTGTTATATATGAATCATTCCACGACAAATCGCACGCTCAAAAAACAACAATATTTTTTAGCGACTTGAAACTTTTTTATTGGGTATAGGGTTGAAAAGAGTTGACACGTATTTTTCTAATCCCACACCTTTCAGAAATATTACCAATTATTTTTTCCGCAAAACCTACCGCTAATGTTACCTTCCGCTAATATTAAAAAAATGCTCAAATACAGTTTCTTTTAGAAAATAAAATTACACTTACATTTAAATTAAATAGATGTACTTTCATATGATGTATAAATAACTTTTTGTAAACATATTATTTAATATTTAAAATATATTTTAATTAACACTAAGACGAGGCCTTCAGGAGGTAATTCCAGAAGAGAACTATGCATAGAAAATCATCAGCTTTGCGGAGATGGTGAAGAGGCCCTGTGGAGTAGGAGAGGTGGAAAAGGGTAGGCAAGGCTCTTCAGGCAGCGGGAAGCCAACTCGCCTAGAGGAGACAACCTCGATAAACAATCCAGTCTCTTCCCTGCTTGGAAGGTGTGCGAATGGCTGGTAACTCTCCCACGTAAAAAACAATCTTCAAAGAAGATCGCCAGACCGAACTTATGACGAATTTGGCATGAAAAGGGAGAGATATGGAATAAATGATATATTAAAGATCGCTGCTTGGAATGTGAGGGGTCTGTCAACAAAAGAACTAGAACTAGATAGGGAACTAAAAGAGAAAGGGATAAATATAGCCGTTATTTCGGAAATAAAAAAAAGAAACTTGAAGGAACAAAATACCTGGAAATTTATGTAATGATATTTAGTGGGGTAGACCAAAAAGAAGGGCTGTAAGTGGAGTCGCAATTCATATTGATAAAAAATGGAAAAACAAAATCGAAAGTTATATTTTTGTTAATGATGGAATATTGATCGTACAATTAAAAATATAAAGAGATCATCTTACTATATTTAGTGTATATGCTCCTGAAGATAACTACTAAGCAACTAGCAATTAACTGATGAATTCTAGGAAGTCCTTGAGCAGCATTACCATAAAGCCAATAAAAATGATCATATGATTTTGGCAGGACACTTTAATGCCAGAGAGGTCTGAGATCAATTATAGATTATATAATTGTGAATAAGCAATTAGCAAGTGAAGTAAGAGATACACGAGT